CATTTTTCTTGTAAATATATATAAAAAAAACAGTAAAATTTAAATTATGTGTTCAAATAGACTAATTTATTGGAACTAACCTGGAAAAATAAATATGAAAGTCAATTAAAATATAAAACAGGAGATTAAGTTCTCCTTTTTTTTATTTAGTTGATGCATTTTAGGTGTATTTATTTAGTGGTTCATATAATTATTTTATTTCTAATGATGTCAGTGTTGGTCCTCCGTACTGCAGAAGAAGATAATCATCATATCAGGTGTGTTGGAGCAGAGGAACAGGTAAAACATGCAGGACTGCGGCCCCCCAGGACCAGGACTGACCACGCCTGAGTTAGAATGATTTTCTGTCAAAGGTAAACTTATCAATTTTATTATTATTATTTTATCTGCTGTTGCTCAGAAACAATTAGCATAAACACTCTGAAGAGTAACGGTAATAAAACAATAAGCTTCTGTCAGACTGACATGTAGTTTAGAAGTTTCTTGTGTATGTTCATGTGTGTTGCTGTCATCAGGCCCCTGACTGCTGTGGGGTCTCCAGAGCTTTGATGTGCACAGTAGGAAGGGTGAACCAGGATAAAGGAAGCTCTCGTTGGCCACGGTCATCTTGGAACTTGATGTTAAGGAAGTAATCTCCTGTGTAGAGAAGAAGTAAGGCTCCCTTACAGACAGAACTTTCTTTGGGTTGAACCTGGGAACAGAAGACACAGTAATAAGTGTTGGCAGTGGGAAGTACACTGAAAAGTGACTGTGTTCATTCTGATTGGAAATGGTGAGAACAATGTCTACAACAAAGCTGTTTTTCACATTTCAGAATAAATTATATAAAATAGCTTATTAGACTTCAGGCTTTTTATTCTGTCTATCTATTTTTTTGATCACGTAACACTCAAATATTTTTTAAACATAAAAAGGCTCAGTTATAAGATCCTCCTTCTGCAACATTTCTTTAACATGAGGATTTCGTAGACACATTACAAAAGTGTTTTTTCCAAGTTTAGTCCATTTTTCTTGAGAACAGAGGTTTAAGGAGGGACTTTTTAAATGTCTAACTCTAAGGATTTGTAAAAATTTCATAAAACTGCCAAATGAAAAACACAAGCTGAATATAACAAACATACAGTGATTTATTTTCTTAAATGCATCAGTAATGTCTAGTTTATTTACCTTTAAAGTAGTACTGTGTAAGTTTTGCTGACTAATAAAAATCAACTGTGCAAGTGAACAAGTAGCAAACATGATGGACCTGAACAAGAGACTGTGAAATCTTCTGACCCCAGGACTATATTTCACTTTGGAACAGCCAGGTGAAGGCTAATAATGGAAACTGATTCTAKAAAAACAACTTTCACAATTAACACAGAAAAGAAATTGTCCTCATTTGTTGCATAAAACTTAATTATAAATCAGAATAGTTCACCTGCTAATGTTTAGATTAGGAAAATTTTAATTTCAGAATAAATACTCTGTCCGGTATTATGAAAATCACTTGAATAATTAAATTGTGTTTAAAACTTAAGTGTTCTCTGATGTCCTAATTAAAAAAATCTACTGTATTTATTCCTGTACAATACTATCTCATGTTTAATATGATCTCATGTATAATACGACCTCATGTATAATACGATCTCATGTACAATACTACCTCATGTATAATACTACCTCATGTATAATACAATCTCATGTATAATACAATCTCATGTATAATACAACCTCATGTACAATACTACCTCATGTATAATACGATCTCATGTACAATACTACCTCATGTATAATACTACCTCATGTATAATACAACCTCATGTATAATACAACCTCATGTACAATACTACCTCATGTATAATACAATCTCATGTATAATACGATCTCATGTATAATACGATCTCATGTATAATACATGAGATCGTATTATACATGAGATCGTATTATACATGAGATTGTATTATACATGAGATTGTATTATACATGAGGTCGTATTATACATGAGGTTGTATTATACATGAGGTCGTATTATACATGCGGTTGTATTATACATGAGATCGTATTATACATGAGATTGTATTATACATGAGGTCGTATTATACATGAGGTCGTATTATACATGAGGTTGTATTATACATGAG